GTTTTTGCATTTTGAGTTATTCCATATATTGCAAGTTTATTACCCAATAAATTGCATTTCATATGATTGTTAATCTTAATAAATTTAGGAAATTGCTATTCATACCTCCCATTTTTGCTATTTATACCCCCTACCCATGTAAAAAAAATTTTTTTTACTAATTATTGTATAAAAACTTCAAACTAAATCAAATCAATTATATAGTAAATAATCTTTAACTAAGTAGATACAATAATAAATTTATATAACATAATATAATCTCATCATACTTTCATATAAGAGGGGTACAAATAGCAAAAATAGTAGGTATCAATAGCAACACCTATCATCATGAATTAGTAGAACAAATAATTTTAGTAATCTAGATCTAAGCATCAACTCGAAGTTACAATAATTAAGTTAACCGTAGCTTAATTAAATAAAAACATAAATCATCGAATTAGGGGTAATCTTTAACAATTGAAACAATCCAATAGGTTTATAATTTTAGATTTTGAGTTCTATAATGCGAATATATAACATGATCAAGTTTAATTTTAATCTTATTAAGGATCAACTAAGCTGATTTTTCAAAAAATTTATCAATTTAGCGGCTAAGTCAACTAATTCCTAATCAACAAAGTCAGTAATTAGCCTAATTCAGTGAAATGAGTTAATAAGCATTGAATACTAGATTTAAATTAAACATCAGATCGAAATTTGATTTTGAGATGCTTCAAACTCGTTTATTATTGATACATATATACAATAAAATGATTTATCGGTTGGTATCACTCAAATAAATTAAAAATTTGACTACTTTTAATCTTATTGTTGCGCTTGAAGTTATACTGACTGAAATTAGCACCTGAATTAAATCTTTTTGCACGTATTAGTTAGTAATTTTAGGCAGGTTTAACTTCAGGCGCTTGAAGTTACAGATGCTAACTTCAAACACGACAATACCAACTATTTTTTCTCTCAATTCTCAACTTTTTTAGCAACTTCTTTTAATCGTTCTAATTCCTTAAAACATATTTCTTGTTTATGTTTTGTATTTCATCTTATCATATTGCAATCTTATATGCAATTTGATTACTATTTGTATTTTTTTAGATACATATTAGCTTTTAAAATAGGATTTACTCTTCTTTAGTTTCATTAGTAGCTTTTTTTGTTGGTAAGATAATTCTTTAGATTATCAAACAAAAAACAGCTAGAAGCGGATTATTATTCTTTTGATATTCTAATACCGATTTATTCATCAAGTTATTAATAAAGTCATATCTATTGTATCACATATAAATAACCACTTATACTCTAATAAACATTTGTTAAAATAGATGTATTATAGCTCAACATGAATATCATACTACGTAACAATATTTCAAATTCCAAATGAGAACTTCTTGAAGAATTATACAAATTGCCTGCAATAATTGCATTTACATATCTATCTTTGACAATAAATAGATGCAAAGTCAAAAAATAAAATGCATAACTTGTTCTTGTAATGATGCTAAACCAAAAAAAAAAAATAATAATTGCTATTAAACATACCTTTTCATGTATATTATTCATTAACTATATCTTATGTGCATTCTATAATGATTAATCAAACATATTGGTGATGATATATTCGCAATGCACTGATCTGTAACACATAATTTAGTGATATAAAATAGTAATGCATTGCTACGCGATGTATAAAATAAGATAATATGATATTCACTTATAATCTATCAAGTTAGAGAATTTAGTAAATACTTTTTCTAACAATACTATAAAAAATTATATCCACTTTCCTGTTATAGTGATAAATCCTAAATCTTGTTATAACGATAAATCCCTAAAAAAATCTTATATTAATTACAAATATGCTTCTACTACCCTCTGCAACATATGAAAGTACTATTAAACTTTTTTAAAGTGTTCAAACCTTTGCCAATTCCCAAGGTTATATTTTAGTGAAAAAAAGAACATATAATGATCAGTATGGTAATCTAAAAAATATGACACTGCGTTGTGATCAAGGTAGAGTTTACAGCAGATCAGAAACACATCAAAGACAAACAAGTACTCAGTTAATTAATTGCCCTTTTGAGTTATATGCTGTTTGATATAGTAATCTATGGTATATAGAAGTTCGTAATAGTAACTATAACCATGATTTTTCAGAAGACTTATTAGGACATCTAATGTTATATCGACTTACAAAGGACCAATTAGTAAGAGTTACAGATATGATAACCTCTGGTTCATGTCCTCTAGAAATAATATCAACCATCTGTCAAAATAATCTATCAGCATTAGTAATAAGTAAGGATATCTATAATACATGTCAGCAGCTTCACCAAAAAAATTTAGCAGATCGTACCCAGTTGAAGCATTGATAGATGAGCTTAGAGAGGGTGATTATATGTACGAATATAAATGTGATGATATAGGTTAGTGTTCTAAATTAAAAATCAAGTTAGCAACTAATCGATAGTTAGCAATTAATCAATTAGTTGTTTTATATAGTATATATTATGCTTTATCTTGTAATTAGATAGTTAAACGATTATGCCTAAGTTATTTCGATATACTAACTAATAGATTAATCAATTAATTGATTAAAGATTAATCAATTAATCAATTAGTTAACTATAATCAACTCTTAATCAAATTTTAAAAAAATTTTAGCAACTAATCGATTTCATTTTATGGTTTGATTTGTAACACTAATATAGGTTATATTACTCACCTTTTCTTTGCACATAATGAATCAGTTATACTTACTCATCAATATTCATCGATACTTCTTATAGATTGCACATATAAAATGAACAAGTTTAAAATGCCCTTGCTAAATGTTGTCAGGATCACTAGTTTCAATACTACTTTTTTTTCATGTTTTGTCTTTATGAAAGATGAAGATGAAGAAGATTACTTATAGGTATTAACATGTATCATTAAATTGTTTAATGGAGTACTACAACCTAAGGTCATAGTAATGGATAAAGAGTTGGCCCTTATGAATGCTCTCAATATGATATTTTTAGGTTCAGCAAATTTATTATGCTTATAGCATATTAATAAAAATGTAATGAAAAATTGTAAGTCTCAATTTGAAACAGGCAATGAGTAGCAGGCTTTTCTCTCAGAATGGAATAATATTGTTTACTCACAAACTGAAGATGAATTTAAAATAAAATGGGAAAATTTTCTTAATACTTACACAAACAAACCTCATATTATTAACTATCTTAAGGAAATTTGGATACCTTAGAAAGAAAAATTCGTTAAAGCTTGGACCAATAAGTTTTTTTATTTGGGGGCAACTGTTACCTCCCAAGTTGAGGGTGCTCATGCAACAATAAAAACATATCTACGTATATCAGCAGGAGATCTTCATAATGTTCGTGTAAAAATTTCCTTGGCAGTAGAAAACCAAAAAAAAGAAATAGATACTATAATTGCATCTTAAAAAATTTGCTTCTCGATTTTTACACAAAATAGTTTTTTATATGAAAATGTTAAGGGCAAAATTTCTAGTTTTGCCCTTAAAAAAGTAGATGAGCAGTATCAAAAGATAAAATATGCTACTACACAAGATCCTTTACCAATATGTACTGGATCTTTCTATAGCACAATGGGTTTACTTTGTGCTCATAGAATCCAACTTCTTGAAAATTATCAAGGCTTAATACTTGATGATTTTCATAAGCATTAGTGGATACAAGCTCGCTCACAAATACCACCTGTTGAGACAAATATTCCTGAAATACAACCTCTTTTGCAAGCCTTAGAAGAAAAGTATAAAGAATAGCCAGAACACTAACAAGAGGCTGCACGAAAAAAATTAGACAATATAATTAATGCTCCATTGACAATCTTGCAAAATCCTCAAGTAGTTCGTACTAGAGAAAGACCTCCTAGTGCTTCTAATCGCCGAACAAATAATTCAACCAGAAGAGATCCCTCTGGATTTGAGTTGGTAGAACGTAGAATAAGACGATGCATTCATTGTAAATACCCTGGACACTATACTAGCACTTGTCCAAATAGAAATTAATTCAGTAAGTATATCTGATGTATTAAAGTTAGTAGTCTATATAGCGATAGATATCAAGAATAATTTATGCAGCATGTAGATTAATATATTCATCTGGCTTTATAAGGTATGTACTGTACATATAAATAATAAGGTTTTGTCGAATAATAGAATACACATATAATTGGTATTGGAATAGATATTAAACTTTAAATTTCCAATTGAAATTTGCGAATTCAATTTTAGTTCAAGCTACTGTACTTTATAATGCCTCTAATTCTAATTGTACCCTGCATATTTTGAAAGAAATTTTGAGAAACCTTAGTTATTTGCATGATGCACAAATTATTTATGTATATTCTAAGAGCTTCAAATTATATATTCATGGTTAAAGTTGGAACTTCAAGCATTGAAGTTAAACTTGTTTAAAAATTATTTACTACTGTTTGCAGTAATATTAGTGATTGCTGTAACTTGTGCCGTAACTTGCTGTAACTATCTCTGTAATATGTAATAATTATCATAAGTTACAGCAAACATGCCGTAACTTATGATAATTATTACATATTACAGAGATAGTTACAGCAAGTTATGGCACAAGTTACAGCAATCATTGGAACGATCTATCTGCATCACTAAGTAATATCTAATTTTACGAGAAAACTCAATACGTATAACATAATGTATATATTAATATTTTCCTCTCCCGATTCAAGAATGTTACCAAAAAAATAAGTATAGCATTCTACAAATGTATCCACTTTTCCGATATCAAATTTAAGATTATTCTTAGTATGTTGCAAATTACATTTGATACTGTTTTTCTTTTTTCGATTCAAGGTTATTACTACTTAGGTTTAAAAAAACAGCTAGTATTTTTATGATGTATTTTCAAGATTAGTTCAACAGTTTGAATCTTTTTAGAGTATTTCCGTTCAAAGATTAGTTCAATGGTTTGAATCTTTTAGAGTATTTCCGTTCAAAGTTTACTGCAACTAAAGTTTAAAACAATATAAAGTTCTTACAAAATAATTAACTATTGTTTTTTGAACTAAAGTAGTACGTAGTCCAAATGATAACTACATACGTATAAAAAATTAGATGATACAAATATTTATATAATCACATGATAAATATCATGTGAAAATTAATTAAATTTTTTTTTTACATGGGTAGGGGGTATGAATAGCAAAAATGAGGGGTACAAATAGTATTGCCCTAAATTTATATAAAAAATTGGTTCAAAATGCATTTAATAAATTGTAAATAAAAATGATTTAATCTGAAGTTTTGCAAGTGCCGTACACGGGCACTAG